TATATATATATAATGTAACAAGTCACGTAATGTCAGCTGAACTTCAATCATTCCTTGTTTTCTAGAAGATAAAAAGAACTGAACTTCCTAGATTTGTGCCTGATTAGTTTGAACGATGGAATGTAAACTATTTTTTCCCCATTTGCATTTTTGGTTACTTTTTTCCACCCCAAAAATGGAGAATAGTTCACAAAGAAAAAAAAAAAAAGAAAAACTAATGACTATCTTTAGACTGAACTCTGCCTGTAGTTCTCCAGTTATCTGAGGCAGGGCCCCAGCATGAGGTCACCAATATTTGCCTTGGCCAGAGAAAGAAAGATTACAGTGAGAGATGAATTATAAACTCTTGTCTCGGCTGTAAATGTGTAGATGAAAAATAACTCAAGAGTAGAAAGCAGTGATTGGAAACTGATCATCTTTGTTGTAGTTACATCAGGGTGAGGACGGGGTCATTTCTGAAATATTATGTCACCCTAGGGGGCCGCTGTCATTTCTCATTCAGGCTATCAACTTTCCTTATCTTTTTACGGAAATATACTTGAGATAAGGTGCAGGTGCAATAAAAAAAACAATGCTGTCAGAATAAAATGAACCCCTGAACTGTTACCTACCCAGAGCTTGTTTTCATGATAAAAAGCGTCGAGCAGCTTGACAATGTAGGGATGGTTGCATTTAGCCAGGATGTCGATCTCAACAATGTAGTCCTCCAGCTCCTCATCACATTTTGTTTCGATCACTTTGGCTGCAGCCAGAGCGCCAGTCTCCTTGTGCTTGGCCTACAGACAGAAGAACAGAACATTCAATCCAACAAATAGGAGCAACCGGGGCCTTTTGAACAGAATTATTGTATTCTGTATCTCGGGAAATGTTTAAATTATGTTGTAGTACCAACCATTTCAATCTATCTCATTTTTCATTAAAAAATGCACATTAAAACAAGTCTATTGAAATAATTAAAACTCATAACTTTTTTCCCWAAATAAAAGCTTACAACTATTGAATTAAATATTTAATTTTGATAAAAGATATAAGTTTGAGAGAAGTGGGAAGTGGCCATGGATTGGGAGGGGGGGCTCCGCTTGGCTTCGCAGTAAAAACAAAAAATGGGGGGGCTTTGAAGAAAATTGTTTGGGAACTATGGATTTAAATTATTATTAAAACAACTGCATACTGTATGTACCAGATTAAAAAGGAATAATAACTGAAAATCATATGAATAATGCAATTTTCCAAGAGAGAAAAAAATCAACAAATACCTACAGTATAATGATGAGATGTTAAAAAATGGCTACTTTCCTGTTTCAAAATATAACATGTTTCGCTAAATCCATTAAAATGCTGACTAACTCATACAAGTCTCAGTAGTTTAAGCAAATGTGGGCAGATTAGAGAAGAAACAAACCAATGAGTGACTCACTGAACCAAGGACAGTATGTTGTGTATTCAGACGGACATTACTGTGGCAAAACAAGTGTGCTCCTGAGGTCAGAACCACATGCTCTGTGCCGAGTGAGGACATTCAGGGCAATAAAACCATGAGGAAAAAAAAACAACAACAACAACATGGTGAGTTACAATTTATGCATTTTCTCTCTGAATTGGTGTATTTGATTTCTACCAAAAGAGTCAACTTTAAGGARGAACCTAATAGATGTAATCTGGTGTGCTGGTGACAAATCCATTAAGAGCATTTCAATGCATGTGTGTCCATCCAGTGACCTGCAGAAACACAGACTAAACTGCCCGCTGAGGTCCRATGCCTTTACGTTTTACATGGGTGTTGGGAAAACATCTGACCAGGGCTCTCAAGTTTTGACCTGAGCGTGGAGTGAGATTTCAAACAGCTGAACRCTGTTGCCAACTYCTYAGTAAGAAAATCCACGTTTAGTCTTCCTAAAAGCTGCTAAATATCGTCGTCCAATTTGCATATTTGGATTTTTGCCAATAATTGTGKTSWGRKSTGRTRKTWWKTRSWGWAGAARAMA